AAGCCTCTACTCACCGCAGGAGCAGGGGCTGCAGGGGGCTGTGGGGCCTCCTCACAGAGCTCCCCCAGGGAGAGCTGGGCAGCAGGGGGCAGCAGGGCCCAGGCTGGGGCCACTGGGGCTGCCACCCCGACCCATGCCGTGCGGGGCGGGGCCCAGTCAGCTAGACGGCAGCCAGACTGCTGGTAAATGCTGGGTTTGTTTGGGGGCCCGGGCAGGGCAGCGAGGCTGGGAGAGTGGGAGGGGGTTGGGGAGCACTCAGGGGGCTGGGGGAGTAGAGGAGTGGGTGGGGCTGGTGCGGGTCCCCCCATGGTCCCCTCCCCCCTCCTCCAGCACCCCCACTCCCTACTTACGAGCACTAGAGCCTGGGCCCAGCTCCCTGTAGCTGGCACGCTGCCTGCCCTGCACAGGCTGGCAGCATGCTTCAGCACCAGGGTGAGGGCCAGCCATAGAGATGCTCTGGCTGCTACCAGAGCATCTCTGTGGAGGACCCAGCCTCCCGTTGCCTCAGGGCATGGTCCAGGACTGTGCCCTGCCCCGCTTTTTTCACTCCAGTTTTTTTTGACCCCTGAATATCCCCTGGAACCTTTTCTTGTTTCTGCACATGCCTCTTGCAGCATCTCAAAGACGTTTAGACCTGACATTGACTCAGTGATAGGTTTCACTTCAAGTAAAAAAGCACTACGTTTTCTTGCCCTAGTGGAAATGCTATAATGCAGGGATAGACAACCCATGGCACACAATGCCAGAATGTAGCACACAAAGGCATTTTGCTTGGCACTTGAGCCTCAAGGAAGGGGCCGGGCTTGTGCTGCCACAACAAGGATTAGGCCCCTCATGGCTCCCCTGCTGCTGGCCCAAGCATGCCAACGTCTTCCAAGTTGAGGTTGCGTGTGTTTTTGGCATTTGACCCCTGGTATAGTACTATTTCCTGGACTTTATGGCTGGCTATAGACATGCTTATTCATGTTCTAACTAAAACTCAAATGAACAAACTTGATTAATCAAGTCTGCTCTGCATTCTAATTAGAACGCTCCAGCATCACATGTATTAAGCCCTCCTGTGTTTCAAAATGGCCACAGGGGTGCTTTAACTTAACCTCATCAAATGAGCTTTAGTTAAAGCGTCCTATGGCCATTTTTAAATGTGCAGGGGCTTAATATACATGATTGTGAGGTGTTTTAATTAAAGCAGCTCTCCAGGAACTGCTCTAATTAAAATGCCCCACTCCCCCACCCCCAAGCATGTGTAAAGGCAGCCTATTTGTTTATTTGTTACTATGGCTCTTACTGTTCCACTGAAATATTCTAACAAGTGCAAAAATAATCTGGAAAAAGACAAGAAATGAAATATGAAGAGAGAAGAGATTTGGAAAGGCCTATGAGTTAGGAACCCAACTTTCAGAGAAAAATCAGGTGCTTGGTTGCCTCGTATGCCTTTGATAATCTTCCCCTGCCTTTATAAATGTAAGGGGAGAACAAAAAACAATTACTCCATAGTGAGCACTGCTAGATCAGGCATTTTATCACTTGTCATGCAGCACTGAATTGAGTTTAGCATCTAAACAACGAAGGTGCCTACTAACTTCAATCATTGTCACCCCTTGTAAGTGTACACTGGGATGTTTCAGGCACTGAAAAAATGCACTCAGTTTTAGAGGCATTACCAAGTCCTGCAGTATTTTCTTAAAATGGGGAAAATGGCTAAAAATTTCTTCATATTTCTGGAACCAAAAAAATGGTCAACTTAATATAATTCATAATGAGCCCTCAGAATTGAAACAAGGGTCTGCATAAAAATGTTCTGACTCATTCAGCAACATATGTGCAATTCCTTACGTAAAGTACTCTTTCCTCCTTCCACAAAAATCTACTAATCCAATGCTCACTATTGCACATAAGAATCCTTTGCTTACTATTTCTTTACCCCAAACAGGACTTCCATCCATACCACTGTCATTCTACCATTCTTCCCCACCATTGTATGCTGGTTTGTTTGGGTTTTTTACTAGGTATTCTGAACAGTGTCTACAGTAGTGGCAGACAGATCTGAAACAACCTGCTGTGAAGTCATCAGTAAAGCCCTAGGTTCCTTTTGGTTCCTGAAGGTCTATGCTGATTGCTGGTGGTTTCCCCTAGTTGGGTGAGGGTCCAAGTCTCTCATGGTAGTGGAGGACCAGGGATCAGAAGAACAGGAGTCCAAGCTCCTGTCCAGTATTAGTTCTTCAAAGTCCTCTATTTCCTTGATCAAGCCGGGAATGCACCAGCCATGTGATGCTGCTACTGGACTCTCGGTTGCAGAAACACCCTCATCTCAATGCCATTTCTCCTCATTGTCTTCTTATGTGTAGCTCACCTACTATTCGAGAGTCCAGTGCAGGAACTTTCTCTCACAACAGTTAATTCTCACCATAGAAATGGTAAGCTCCCTGTAGCACAGCAGCTGCTTGACTCAACAGTCGGCCAGTTCAGTCTTTACCTCAGAAGGCAAAGAACTTGAGGAAGCAGAGCCATCCTGAGTAATTTTGTAACACAAATATTCACCACTTTCAGGCCCACAAAAGTGGTTTGTTCTTGTGCACCTCCATTATACCAGTCAGCGAGAGACCGGGTTCCCATCAGACACTTGCTGCAGAAGGGGAACCCAGATGCTTGTTCCTTCTAGCCCTGCTGAAAGCCTCTACCATTTGTTATCACTTTACAATTGCAAGGCTCTCTTTGCAAGGGCACAGGCTAGAAAGCTATGGGTTTGTGGTTTTTTTTTTAACAAAGTAAAAGCTGAGACTCTTCTCCCCCCGGACCCAAACACTGGCTTTGTTCATGTGAGGCTTATTGGAACCTCCAGGAGCTGCCTTCAGCTCATCTATATTGATTACCAATTAGAGCCATATCTGAACAAAGATATACAGTTCAGAAACAGGGTTGGATTTTGATCTAAATTTTTCAGTTCTTTGGTTCTGTACAAATACTATGGGAGTTGGTTGTAAAATTTGCATTCCAGAGTTCGTGTGTGTGCAGATCCACAGATCAGGCCTCTTTCCATAAGAAAGTAAACCTGAACCAGTTCTACAGGACTTGGTTCTGTACTCAAGTCTTGGTTTAACCATGGTGACCTAAGCCCAATGGTGCCTAACAGGGCTTCTAGTCACAAGTTAGCAAGAGACTCTTGGCTAAGACTAAACTTCTCTAAACTGCAATGGAAGTTCTAGTTCATGATATCTTGCATAACCCAAAGCTAAATTGGACTAGGGGCCATACATCTCCTTGGGCAATGTAAGACCTGGAGGGTGATGCCATTGAATTCCAAGAGTCACTTACTTGGTGTGGGAAATGTGGCAAGACTGGCTTTGCTTTAGATCATTTTGTAATAGTACTCCAAGTTTTGATCCTTCTTAACACTTGATTTCTTATTTCTCACATGACTTGCATGGAGCTTAGGGTCTTCTAACTTAAAGGTGCAATGATAGACACCCAGAAAATTCCATTTGCCTTGTGCAGGTATTAGCAACAGCTCCTATCTCGATCAGATGGGATGTGTTTGGGAGAACACATTACATAAAGAACTCATTACATAAAGAACTCAGTGTTTGAGAGAATCCTTGTCTCACATTATTCACAGAGACACTGGTAAATTCCAGGAGAGACTTCCTGCCTTCCCCTTCCTTCAACAGGAGATACTTCAACTTGTCAAAACTCATATCAGAAGGTTAACTCATACTCTTATTGAAGGTCATTTAGAACCAAAAGAAAAACTAAACATGTTCCACATGTTTTCCAGGCCATCCAATATGGCCAATTATTCTCCCTAATTCAGAGCTCTCTTGACTGGTTATAAACTATTGAGAACTTGGCTGTTCAGCTTCTTGCATGTGGGTACTTAAGTAATTCCACATACAACCCGGATAACTGATCCAGGTAGCATATTCCATGGTGTAAAAGACAGTTCTTACTCTTCTACATGGAGTCAGTCTCACCCTGAGGAAGGAATCTGTATCCAAATCTGCAGGTTTTAGTAGTAATATCTATAAACTCTCTTGGTTTCATCCCTATATAACAGTACAGGACTTTTCCATGAAGGGCACAATGCATTTTAGATTAATTGTTTTTCATGGTATGTAACAAAAATGTAATAATCTTACCAGTAAATATTTTAGGGCCCTTTTTTCCCCTTGCATGATGAACTTGAAGGAGGATGTAGGTGTAGTGCCATTCTCTCTACCTCACATAATGTATCACTTTCCTTCCCCCATTCTCTTTCTATTTAGACAGCAATCATAGGGCCTATATATCTCAAGCCATTGCAAAACACTTTTCCAGTGGCAAATTCTAAGCCCTTGGCAAGACTCCCTAAGCAGTAATATTTGTAATTTTGGAGCTGCCTCTGGGTCTGTCATGTGATTAATCTGCTGACGGGATCTTAGCACTCACTGCCTTGTGCTCCTACCCAGACAGTATTTTATTTTGATGTTTAGAAATGCATTCACTTTTATCTCTTTGAAAAGAAATTCCTCTGCAAACCTCAGATGAGAGTAATAGCTATTTGGAAATTGTACTGTGCTCCCCCCTTCCCCCCAGATCTCTGGGTGTCTCTGAGGATTGCAGTAAGGACTGCCTATATAGCTTACTTTTTTTAAAGGAAGCCTCAGATTTCCTGCATGCCTGGCTTCATGCCTGGCCCACCCTTTTGGGCGGGTGGGTTCATAACAGGCCAGTCCTGGTCCCAAAGCATAGTTTAGGGCAGCAGTCCTCAAGTTAGGGGTGGCAGCACTTAATAACTGGGGTCTGAAGCCCAATAGAAATTCAGTTGTAGCAGTAGGGCTTAGACCAGAAGGGTGGGGTCATGAGTTAACTGGAAGATGGTTTGCAAGCCTGGAAATGGGGTAGCCTCAGACAAACATCAGGCACTAATGCTCTAGAGTATCTTTTGATTTACTGACCTTTTGCAACATGCATTCTGCATTGGCCTTGATAACTACATACATTGTAATTTGCTAGAAAGTCAGACCCACACCACACCCTCAATTAAAAAAAATCCAGTGTCTTATGTCATATTCTACTCTGTTTTGATATAAATCCAGACTAATTCTATTGTCTAGCTGGGATACCACAGAATACAGCAGCATAAAATGTGTCCCCTAGTGAAGACCAAGAGTCAGGCATGTATCTGTTGTTAACAGGCTTTTCCTATTCAAAAATAGCTGCATAATCTTTCAGAATTTTGTCATATGTTCATAACTTTTCAAATACCCTTGTTTAGCAGCTGCCCTTAATTAGTAGCAGCCCTGTTATCATACAGTTTATTGTAGGAGCTGCCCTTATTTTCTAATTTCACCTTTGCCATGAAAGGGTATAGTAATTAAAGGTAATAAAAGCCACCGTCCTTTCGAAGCAGCCCTCGGTTTAAGGCTACAGGGGAAGTAATTAAATTTAATAATAGATGGGCCTTCTAAATGAAGATCAAGACATCAAAATTCAGTTATTTTAAAGAGAGAATGGATTTACTGCTTTAATGTCTCAAATAAGCCCTACTATTTTTTTTTCAAACAGACACATGAATGGGAAGATTGATTCACACTGTAGATATAAGACAAGTACACCCAGAGTGTGAATTTTATGAATACATACATTCCGGTAGCTTCAAGGTCATAAAAAATGCTTCATATATTGACAGTTTGCCCATGGTGTGGAGGTAAAAAAAGAAGACTGATTTAAAATAACAGATTCCAAACTACTCCATGTTGTTGCTGACAGAAGAAGTAGGAAGCCAAGAAAAATGAATGCTTCCACAATGCTCAGCAAAGCCAGAATGATCCTCAAACTAATCATATATTGTATACTCACAAAAACCCCCACTGTCAATGCAAAACAGAAATTGACAGATTCAGCGTTCAAGCCATGAAATTCCATAGATTGTAATAATCTAAGGACCAGTCTTCCAGTCCCAAATCATCATGGCTCTGAATTACTGAAGAAACCATCCACATGGATTGGATTGTAAGACCACGTCCCAAATAATTACATTTCCCCCTGGATTCTAAAGGAGCCCTACCCTTTCTATGGCAAGCAAGTTGTAAAGTTAGGGGGTGACTAAAGTTTAACTCCCCTTTGTGCCTTTGAAAATCATCTGCTTCACCTTCACGTGCCAGATTTTCAAAGGTATTTTTGCAGGATTCAAGTTTACTTATGGAAGTTTGTGTCCCTGGTTTGTCATAGTCAAGTTTTTGCACATGGAACTTCAGAAGTGTGCAAGCCAACAGCTCTCACATCTCTGATTGGGTAATTAGACATCTAACTGCCCAGTTTGCATATGTAAATCTAAGTTTTTGTGTGGGCAGAACAGAGCCATGAGCAAATGTATGTACAATGTTATTTTCAGAGACTCTTTACAGCAGCACTTTTTAAACCATTCCAGCCTGTCATTTTGTATTTGGGGCCAGAGTTTCAATTGATGTAAGGTAGTGTAGTTCTATCCCAACTGAAGATCTGTCAGCTGCCATGCCAATCCAAACTGCCCATACAATCCCATAAAAACTTATTCTGTCCATTAGGCCTCTAGCTTGTAAAAAGGTTGTGTTCCTGATGGTACTTTTTAGCAGCTGCGTTCTGAAAATTATAAATTAGCACTCAGATTAGATAAATACAGTGTGGAGGGCTGATGTACTGCTTTTGGTTCCCAGAGGTCTGCAGAATTTACATATTTATTGCAAGTCACAAGCATAAAATGTATAAAGTGTATCTTGAATGCATGCATGCCCTAGAAAATATATATATGTGCACATATTGGTTATATATGTCCCATTCTCTGTGTATCTGGAAAAGAGTGGGTTTTTTTTTTGCTTTCTTTCAGCTGATGTACTTTCTCCTCAGCACCATGGGTCTGATTACCTGTGTTTTGGCAGTGGCTTTTGCTGCACATCATTATTTACAAATTACACAGTTTACCTGTGATACCATCCTCAATACCTGCCAGTGCAAACTGGACACTTCAGATCCCCTCAGCAGGACCTTCATTTACCAAGATGTATCTGACTGTACCAGTGTCACCAGCGCTTTCAACCTGTATTTACTCCTGCAGATGGTTCTTAATCTGATTGCAGCTATTGTATGTTTGGTGGTGTGCTTTGTGATGTGGAAACACAGATATCAGGTCTTTTATGTGGGCACTCGGTTATACTCATTAACTTCTACTGAAATCCAGCAACAGAAAGTGTAGGATTTTTGTGAAGAGGGAATGAAAAGGTTCAGTTTGGTACCATGTAGACACCACAAATGGGTTAATGTTTATAAAAAATTTTGACAAGGAAAAGCATTGACGAAAACTGAATGAATAAATTTATATTTTTCAGTCATTTTAAGAAAAATTCTTATGGCAGCTATAGCAAAGGTCCCTTTTGGGAATATCTAGCTCAAGATGCATCATAAAGACCCGAAGATGTAGCTTTACAAATACCCTTCAAAAAGCATCTTTAATATAGTTTTCAAGGGCGACTAGAGGGTAACCCAAGTTTGAGGTACCTGACTTGATGCTCATTAAAGTAGGATGATTTTTAGAGAACAGAAACCCCATGCTTTCTGAAAATAAAACCAGTTCCAGGTAACTCAAATTAGTCTCCTCAAAACTGAGGAACACACGCCACCCTGGAAATCATGTATTGAAATGATCAGTACTCATAAAACTGCTGTTTATCCAGTTACACTAGTATTTGTTTATCCAGAGTACTAAAGGCCAAACTCATTTTTGGCATAGCTTCTCCAGAAACAATAGATATATACCAGGGGAGCATTAGGCACAACAACCTTCAAAGACACATTACTCCATAAAGAAATGGGCAAGTTAAGTAGGTATGCCTGATTTTCTAAGAATATAATCTGTTCCCAATGAGTACATGACCATAATGACTTCTAATTATGATATAACAATCCTGTTTTTCCTCCTAAGGCTCCCAGTTGGGAGTCTGATTTTCTTTCAATTTGCCCCTTCTGTAGGTAATGTGCACTAGTGCAAAGTGGACACCAGATCTTTGGGGGTGAATGAGGAATTCTGATTTGGTAGTGCTGTGCATGGATGATACTGACTCCAAAAGGGCAAAGCTTTGGAGAGTCAACCCTGTACAATAAGGGATTCCTTATCATCCACTGAAGTCACTCCACTCGAGATGGAATAGAACAGCCATCATGTACCAGCAAGACTGTTCAACAACAGGGTCCTCTGGCATTCCATAGTGCTCCTCTCTCCTCCCTTCTCCCTGCCCCCAGCAAGGGGAGGGGGAGAAAGAGCAGAGCAGACCATCAATAAGTGCTCTCCTGCCACTCTACCTCTGCTTTCCAGTGAACTTGCATAGATCCCTGGGCCCTCCTGGCTGCTGCTTCCCACCTGCCTAGAGTGCCAGGAGTGGCAACACCAACAGCTACCAGAGTGCTGTGGTTCCTGACAGCTGGGGAGCTCCTCCCAGCCATTCTCAGCACATGAGACCCTTGTGCCCTCAGACCCCCATGCCTCCAGACATTGGTGCCACTACCCCGCCTCTCTATCCACCGGTCTCCATGAACTTCTCTGGTTCCAGTGGTGGGGAGGGGCATGAGGTCTCTTGTCCCCCTGTTTTGGTGGGAATGGAGCTGAGGCAAGAGGCAGGAGAGAGCATCCACCAACATCAGGTCCACTCCAGGAGATGGGGCTACAGAGTGGTACTGACAGTCCTCTCTTCTCCTCTGGTCCTTTGGTGGGGGAGTGAACCTGCTGGTCATTGCAGCCAGTATTAAGGGGGAGTAAAAAAGGCATCTACCCCCAGACTTTGGTGGGGTGGGGCAGAATAATTGCAGCCACCACCACTGCCCCATGCACTGCCACTGCTCAGGCTGCAAAACTGCCTAACTACACCTCTGGCTGCACCCTCCTGTAGTACCCAGTGGCTGGAGAACACACTGCTATAGGCAGCCACAGTGATTTTGAAGCAGTCTTGCTGGGGGCTATGACAGGGTCTATACATGCATCCAGCAGCTCATAATGTTGTGTTTTGAAATGTTTTCCAGCTTATTACACTTGGAAACATTTCAAATGATAAGTCTACACCCTTTGTGTCCACCAAATTACAGGCACAAGCAGTTTTTCACCCGAAGCTGTTTGCCTGTCTTGTCAGTGTTACCCAAGTGGACACTCTGATTCCAAAATAGTCTTATACAATTTGAGGTGACAAAGAGTTCTGAAAGAAGCTGGGTGCAGTGGAATTCAATTATAGCATTGATTCAAGACTTACAACTGCCACCATCACTACCATTTTAGGAACTGAAGTCTTCCATTGACTTCAGTAGGAGTTCATTGATTATTACATCTGAATAGTCTCTACTTGGAGGAGTATTTAGCTCCTTAAATGAAATGTACATAGACATAACCTTTTAATCTTTCAAGAATTGTTGGGCATGTCTACATGTTCAATTAATGTGCCTTAGGTAATGCACATTAAATCTAGTACCTACATTATGAGGAACTGGGAAAATGCACATTAACCTTTTTTAATGCACATTAGCTAAAGAGCACAGGGGTTTTTTTGTGGTGCTTTAATGTGCATTAAAATAAGCTAATGCGCATTAAAGCACACATGTAGATATGCATAGCCTATAGGTAGTTCAACCCTCAAAGGAAGGGGATCCAAGGAAGATAGGCATAGGCAACACGTAGGGAGGCTACAAGGGGGCATGTGCCCCCCCCCTGAAATTAGCCCTTGCCAGCTGGAGAGTGGGGGTGCTGAGAGAAGTGCCAGCCCCCCCCCCCCCCCCCCCCCAAGATTGGTGCCAGCTGGGGAGTGGGGGCACTGAGAGAAGCGCCAGAGGCACTTCCAGTTTTGCCTGCAGCACTTCTGGTTTTGCTGCTGGCGCTTCTGGGGTCAGCAATCAGCCACTGGTGCCCCCCAGACTCAGGAGGCACCAGTCGCCCATTAGGATGGGGATATCTGTGCCTAACAGTTCCTTCTCAGGGTTGCTTCATTCCAGCTGTGCTAACAGTAATTCCCAGGTGTAGGCCTATGCCAGGTTCTGTGGTATCTTTTCAGGATAATGGGCTACAAAAGGGAATGATGTGCATTCCACCTAGTTCCTCTCATCTGTTCATTCATCCCCTCTGGCCCAACAAGTTATATTCCCATTCCCAGGACAGACCTTATATGCATAAAGTGGACTCTTCCAGGCCCAGAACTTGGGGGCATTGGTGTTGCACAGGGGACCACACTCCCTTTAGCACAACAACTGAGAGAGGGGCATATGACAGCACCCAGTATATATGGAAGAAGGAGGCTATTAAATTGTCTGGGTTTTAGGGCTTGATCCTGTATCACTGAAGTCAGTAGGATTCAGGGCCAAATTTTCCTAGGTGACCTGGAAAGCTAAGCCCCATTTCCAAACATGACTTGGGGAAGGTCACTGCTACCTAGTGGGTGGGTCTGGGAGTGGCCCTAACTCAAATATGCTGACCATCCACAGAGATGCCAAGGATGAATCACTATAGGTATGCCCTGTTAATATGCCCTCCCTCTGAAGCTTCTATTGCTACTAGACATACCCTTAGGCACTCTGTGGCCTCTACCTTATAAGGCGACTTGGGCTTCCCAGTTCCTTTTGTTGTTTCTTTGGGAAGTTTCACCCACCATTTTTGGTTGTAAATGCAAGTAGTTTAACACCATTATTTAAACAGTACCTTTGTCTGAACTTGTTTCCTTCCTAGCACCAAGGGGATTAGTAGTAGTATTAGTGATAAGAATGAGTGAGTCATTTTAGTTTTGTAAAATGAGTTTTGCTAAATGTTTTTAAAGGGAAAGTTTGAAATAATGAGGGCCACCCACCACTAAAGCTCATGCCATTTGGCATTTCTAGCAGTATCAGTGGAAGGCTGAGCATCAAATGGAAAAAGAGACTGAACTACCCTCCTACCAAAGTCATGAGGCTGATTGGCAGGACAGCATGGTGAAGTTTGATCTGCAATTGCTTGTACTGTATTTCCGCTCAGGCTGATTATTTACAAATGTTAATCCTCTGACCTTCATCTCTTTCCCCTTTTTTCAGTCTTTCTTCTCCATAATCTGTTAGGTCCTGGGCCACATGCCACCTCTCTCTTCTTAGAGGTAGGCTTTGACTTTCTTAGTGGCCTCTGGCTTGCAGGAAGTTTAAATTGACTTTAACTAGGCTTTCGGCAACAATAAATATATTATCATGATGAACATAGATTTGTCATGAAAGATTTCAGAGTGGCAGTGTTGATACTGGTGAGATACCCATCCCTAGAAATACGTGTATTGTAGTTACAGCACATCTTTGCTTTTAAACTATGTTGCAGAATTCTCAACACTAAACAGTCCAGTGCAGCTTAACTTTGTGTTCTGGAAGGGAAAAGAAAGCAATATTCATTGTATATTATTCAAATATGTGAGGTTTAAATACATGGGAGATTTTGAACCAGCAAAGAATAACTTCTACATTTCCTCTTTATATGTCTCAAGAGCATAAAACCAAAACAGAGAAGACGACTACCAGGAAACAGACGTGGTAGCTATTTTGAACCAGTGTTCTTCTGGCCATGGTTTTATAACATACTTTTTTTCATATGTGAAATCTCGAAAGCTTTAATTAAAGAAATAGTTAATTTCATTCTATCAGCATATTCAAAGAGTGTCCACACTTGCCCCAATGGAAGTGAATGTCTAAATTCACACAGAATCCAGTGGAAGAATGATTGAGACCTAAAGTTCTAGAAAAGTATCAGAGATGTAAAGGATAAAAAAAATATTTTAGTCCTAGAAATGTATCTTCATTAAAAGTTCTATGGAACTTGACAAAGCTTAAACAGCACGAGTCATATAGAAGTTAAGAAGGGTCTATCCAAGTTAGTCTCAAATGCTAGGTATGAGTCACATCTACCCTATAGCCATTTAACACTGGTCTGGTAGGGCCAGGATGCCTTAAAGAGGGCATAAATTACATTTCCACCCACTTTATGGCCTCTTTACACTGCTAAAAGGGCTTTAGTGTAAATGAGAATTAAGGACTTTGAGAACTTGACTGAGAATAAAATTGTTTCTAGAGACTGTTTTAGACCATCTTGTTGAACTCTATATCTGGGATAAAATTCTTCACTGAATTTTATAACCTGTTTTAAGATCATAATTTTCTATTAAATCCTGATCCATAAGACTTTTCCAAGCAGGCCAAAGCCTGCTTCTATAATCCCTTAGTCATGTGAGTAGAGTAGTCCCACTGAACACACACAAACAGTGATGTTGCATGAGTAATATTACAGAAAAAGGAAAGAAAAGAAAGCAGCAGCTTTGCTCTGGGTTTGAGGAATTTTGATGTTGTGTTATGCAAATACTGAAGTTACAATAATGGCAACAAAAGAGGAACTGAGATACACAACATTACATTTAGCAAAATGTCAGAGTCTAAAACTGTCAATGAGCCAAGGCAGTGACTGTTTCTTATAAGCCATTTGCACAACCCTCCTCCTCCACTAGTAATAAACGAAACAAGACTCGGAAGGAAGGGGAACTGCTGGGATTTGGCTCTGCGCGAGAGATGAGGAACACAGCAGCCGAGACATACAGGCTTTGTAAGCAAGCCCACACTTTCAGACTGTGCCTTCACGTGATCACCATCTGTGCCTTCCCAGCTCTGTCCAGCTCTGTGTGGGCAGCTCCTTGGAGCTTTGCCTAAAAACTCAAGCTACACTAGAGCTCTGGAGACTGTAATCAAATAACAGGGCTAATGTTTTCTCTTACTGTGTCTACTAAATTGTGTGATGTTTACTTGAGGCTTCTTAAAAACAGAGACCACTGTGTTTTGTGTCAGAGAAGCCACCGTGCACATGTTCTATATTTAGGTTCCCAGGATGCCAGGCCCTCTTGAAATTTTCATACTCCCCATGCCCCACCCACCCACACATGTACACATGCTTATATCTGGAAAATGTTTTTAGATATTAGTAAAGGGTGTGGGCAGGGGGTATACAAGGGAGGCATGGAGGAACAACAGTAAAGGGGTATTTAGGCACAAAGCTTAAAATCTCCTTGAGGAGGCAGATCACTGTTACTATAATGTACCTTGTGGCTTCCTATAATTCTTATAGTATATATGAAGTGAGAGTCAGATTATCAGCTACGGCAAAACAATGCAGCTTTGCTGCCTTGAAGACTCTGGCTCTGTGTCTTTCTGTAGTAAAAATCAGGAGAGGACACCATGTTTTTACTCAGTTAATCAAAGAGGTCTGACGTACTTACTGGTTTGTATTCTTTATTGAGCTAATCCTTTTCTGAGGTCGTTTTTACAAAGCTGTACCTCTTATAAATACAGGCTCACCATAACCTTAGTGCTTGTAGCCAGCTATCTGGTAATATTCATTTTGGTGCTTCCTTGTGTTCAAGTCTATGCACTTCTTCTCTTAGGGATGTTTGCGTTCTGATTTTTCTCCTTCCCCTGCTCTCCCCAGAGTTATCTGCAATGGCAAATCAATGAGATTTATCCACCCGTTAAACACCTTCTGCAGTTTGAAAATTGGACTAAACAATATAAACAAGAACAACAATAACAAATGTTGGGTTTTTTCTGGTTTGTGTTTGGCATGTGTGATTTTTATGCCTTTGCAGAAACAGCCAAATGATACATTTAAACTTAAAATGTTTCATTTTTTTTAAGGGCATATGTATAGGGCACACTTCATTTGTTAACATAATGCTTTCATATGCCACGAAGCCACCTGCATGCGAGCATAGCTATTAAAGCTTTTGTAAAATAACGGACTGCAGCTAGTGTCTAAGCTAAGATGCATCAAAACTCACAAATTAGCATCTCCTTCACAACCTGGCTTCTCAGCAGACAAAGAGTTAATGCTTGTTTGCTCTCCTAGATTCCTGCCACTGTCTCCGGGTTAGTACATTGCACAAATGTCAGAAGGCTGGGTTGCTAATGTGCAGACAAATGGGAACCTCATTCAGTCAGGTATATTATGACTGACAAGTACTGGGCTGACCTCAAGTTAGTGGATATATAAAGAGTGACACTGATTAAACCAGGGCACTGCATAAGAGCCCTAATGATTCTGGAAATGAAATATTCTAGGAAGCCATGGTTTTTTAACCCAGTCTCACTCTGTGGTTGGGGAAAGAAAACCCTCTCTTAAAATGTTCCAAAGTTAATTGAACAAAGCTAATCAGCATAAGACACCTCTTTGGCCAAAATTATAATGAGAAGAAACTGATAC